CTTTTCATCTGCAAAATCCAACACAACCTTGAATGAAATCGAAAGCCATAGGTCCTCCACAGGCCAATTAGCATCACCAGGACTGGCTGGCTGACCTCAAGCGTGATACATGAGCCCCCCCTCTCAGTTCCCAAATTTTATGTATCATGTGTCTTTACATTCGTCTTGATGTCTCTCGTGTTGGGGAATAATGGGCTTAATTAAGGTGGTAATTATCTTGGGCTTATTAAGGAGGTTAACCATTAATATCATAACCATAGACTAGATAATTATATGTACATATATACGGAGATAATTACACGGTTGCCAATTTACTCTAGATTATTATCATTTTTATTTATTTTAAGGATATAAAAAAAAAATCTACAACTTGAGCTGTGTGTGTATATACATGTTAAGTGTTAAAATGATATTTCTGTTTAAACATCGTTAGTTAGTAAATAGGTCTCTTCGTGTATTTTGAAATGCGACTTTGAACTTTGACCCAAACATTTGTAGGATTCGCTTAAATGTTTAATAAGCCCTTTCTCTCTTTCTCTGTCTGTCTTTCTGCCTGACTATCTGTCTCTCGCTTACTATCTCTCTCTTACTATCTCTCTCTCTCTCTATCTATCTCTCTCTCTCTCTCTATCTATCTATCTATCTATCTATCTATCTCTCTCTCTCTTTCTCTTCTCCCTTCCAATCTCTCTCTATGTGTGTGTGTGTATTTAAATGTATATACTCACACACACACACACACACACACACACACACATATAAGTGTGTGTGTGTGTGTGTGTATGTTTATATGTATATTAATATCTACATATATATGTATATGTGTATGATATATATATATATATATATATATATATATATATATATATATATATATATATACATATATATATATATATATATATATATATATATATATATATATATATATATATACATATATATATATATATATATATATATATATATATATATATATATGTATATACATATATATGTACACACACACACACATATGTGTGTATACATACATACATACATACATACATACATACATACATATATATATATATATATGTACACACACACACACACACACACACACACACACACACACACACACACACACACACACATATATATATATATATATATATATATATATATATATATATATATATATACATATATATATATATATATATATATATATATATATATATATATATATATATATATATATGAATGTATGTTTGTATGCACACACAGACACACACACCCATAGAGATATATAGATAGATACACATATATTCATATATCTACCTCTTGCTCTATCTCTACCTCTCCACCCCCTTTTTCCCTCCCTCTCTCTCACTCTCCCCCCCCTCCGTAAGCCCGCAAGAGTACAGCGCAAAATGTCCAAGTGAAAGGATCAGCTGATGATAGGGTTTGTCGTTGATAATGAGAGTAAAAAAGTAAGAGTAAGCCATGTGTGTCTATTGTTTACGTTGAGGTGATTTATCGTGACTCACCTCAAGGCCTATATATATGTATACGTTTTTGGTGTGTGTTTATAACGGAGTTCTGTTATATAATGTAGTGGGTGGTTGTTTTTTGGAATTCTTAGTAGGAGTTCATTCATATGTTTGGTTCATTTCGTGTGTAGTACAGAGATAGTGTGAAGTATGTTTAAGTAATTTAGTATGTTTATTATATCTGATATGCTCAACAATTTGAATATGTTAAAATCCTCGGAAAACGGAGAAGCAATTTTTGCATATTTTGTTATATTTTACCATGATTTACGTACTTCAAATACATACGACAAAAATATAAAAGTAGATCTTATAAAAATAAGACACGGTGCACAATGTGTTTTTTTTTCTGTCAGTAAGCACTTAACCCCTTATCTGCCCTTAAAGATTAAATACTGAACTACTTAACATCCTCCACGATAAGAAATAAACACTAAAAGACGCGAAGGAAAAAAAAAAAGGTGACACATAGAAGGAAGTGAAAAGGTGTCACTATTAAACACAATGTTGCGGCCGCCATGACGTTCCTTAGAGACCTGGCTGTAGCGTAGAAGGTCAGAGAAGTGAAGATGACTTGTTTGCGTATTTCCGTTTCCCAGAGATGTCAAGTGTGTTTGAAATACAACGAGATTAGTATTTTTTTTTTACCCTTTTTCCTTTTTTTTTCCTTTTATTTTATTTCTCTTTGTCGACTGTGATTCTTCGTTTGTTTTTTCATCATTATTATTTTTTGAAATTGTTATTGATGTTATCTTTCATATAAACAATTCTAATAGATAAACGAAGGAAATTGATTATCGTTTTTTCTCTAGCCAACAAAAAATGAAATAATTAATCATTATAAAAACAAGAAAACAAACATAAACGATTTCCAAATCATTATGATATAACGAGTTTATAGCATTTTTAACAATCACAATATTAATAATCATAAACTAATGATAATTAGAATGATAACGTCCTTAGAAGAAAGAGTTATAAAGGTGACCACAATGACAATGATAATCACGTTAGTAATAGTAATTATGCTAATTATAGATAATGAGGGTGACCGATCAATATGAGAATAATAATGTGAATGATAATGATTACGAATGATAAAGAAGGCAATCTCTCAAGTAAAAAAATAATGATGATAACAACAATAATGATGCTAACAGAAAAAAACAGTAATAATAGTAATGATAATAACAATAATGAAGGCAATACAAATAATAATGATAATACTATGATAGTAATATTAATGACAATAAGCATAGTAAGAATAACAATAATGGTAATGATAACAATAATAATAATTGCATCAATTATAATAGTAATAATGAAACCAATAATGATAATATCAACGTTAATTGATTATAGTGATAATAATTATAAGATGATAATGAAAATTATACTCATTATCATAGTGATAGGGTTAACAATACTGATAATAATGATTATAATAATAATAAGGATGATAATCATAATAAAGATGATAAAATAAATATTCCTAGTAATAATGATAATAATAGTAATAAAAACAACAATAACAATGATGATAATAATGATAATAATGACAATAATAGTAATGATATTGATAAAAAGCAATGATATTAATGATGATAATAATAACAATAAAGATAATAATACTAACAATAATAATGATAATACTACTACTACTAATAATGGTAATAATAATAATAACAATTGTAAAATGATATTGAAAACAATAATAAAAATAAAAATAACAATTATGTTAACAATATTAGTAATAGTAATAATAATAAAGATAATAATAACGATAATAATAATGATGATGCTAATAATGATAATAACAATGATAATAATAATAATAATAGTAATAACAGTGATATGATAGAATAACATTAATAAAGATGATAACAAAAACAATAACAATTATGACAACAATAATTATAATGGTAATGATGATGATGATAATATCAATGATAATAATGATTATGATAATAATAATAACAATAATAATAATGATAATAATAATAATAATAGTAATGAAAATGATAATAATAACAATAATAATAATAATGATAATAATAATAATAGTAATGATAATAATGATATGGATGATAATGATAATAATAATTATTATTATCATTATCATTTAATGTTATTAACATTATTATTATTATTATTATTATTATCAATATTATTATTATTAATATCATTATGTTATTTTACGTCAGTCGCCTGTGATTCGTGTCTTTCGAGCCCTGTTGTTCGAATCAGATGTTTTGCTTCCTTTTGTGTCATTCGTATTTTTTATGATTTTTTTGTGTCATTCGTATTTTTATGATTTTTTTGTGTCATTCGTATTTTTATGATTTTTTTGTGTCATTCGTATTTTTATGATTTTTTTTTTTGTGTGTCATTCGTATTTTTATGATTTTTTTTTTTTGTGTGTGTGTCATTCGTGTGGTTTGTGTCATTTTGTATCATTTGTATGTTTTGTGTCATTTTGTGTCATATATGTATTTTATGTTTTCGTGTCTCATTTTTATGCTTTATGCTATTTAGTATCATTCGTGTGTTTTATGATATTTTGTTTAATTTCTGTGTTTTGTGTCACTTTGTGTCATTCACATATCTTGTGTCATTTTGTACCATTCGTATGTTTTGTGTCATTTTTGTGTCATTCAAGTACAGATCATTCCTTCTCTAGGTTGAGCCGTATCAATTTTCTACTAGCGTGGCTTTCTCAACTCATCTGTGACGTGATATGGAAAACAGCGGTTAGAGAAATTGTGTTATTATAGTAGAAACTACAATTGGTTGAAATAGTTGAAAGTTGTGCTACAATAATGGGTATGTGGAATAGTCTCTGTTATCCTTAACATTTATGATTATTTTTTACTGCGTCCATCCTTAGACAAGAACGTAAAATAATGATATCTTCTTCATAAAAATCATTATTATTCATTCTTCTGCTACATCTTTATTCATATCTAAATTAAGTGTTCTCTTTCATTCACGCCTTTTCTTAAGGCATCTGAAACTGAAGTACTTTTCTGTTCCTCAGGCGCGCGTGGCTGCAGGGTCCCCCGAGGTGCAAGTCACTGTGATGTAACAAAACTGACCGAGCTTTTGCCAGACAGTGAGCATAGACGTAAAGGGTTTCTTCATATTCCTGTTGTTTATTCTTAGTCTTTGCGTCTTTTAGAATTACTATCTGCCTCTTTTTTTCTCTTCTTACTGATGTATTTTCATAAAGAACGAAGGAAAGGGGGTTTTCAGTAGCTGACTGGATGGATGAGGAGGTCGGCGCCGCGAGATACGATTGGGTGTCATTTGTCATGTTTCAGGCCGACGGCAACCGCGCCGCACCCATCCCCGATCCGAGTGTTGCTTTCTAGGCTCACTTTTGGGGACGCCAAGTTCGACTCCACCCCTTTCCTTCCGCCGCACCAATATAACTCGACGCGAAGGCTCTTTCGGCACGAGTTCCTTGCTGAACACTCACTTGGTAAGGTCTTCTGCCTTGCTCTCCTTCGGGGGCTCTTGCTTAGCTGGTACTTTTTTATTCATGTGTTGATGATATTATGCCTGCCGAGACTAACGCATACTACAGTTCTCCT